AACCGCGATAAAAAATGTTACAAGTACGAAAAACATCCAAGATTAATGTTCACATTCATCCTTTTGAGATTCTCTCATCGAGTCTGAATTTCTTTTTTTAGCCTGTCACCCTAAAAGCTGCCTGATAGTTGGCGAGTGATTGTTCCCGCTTTAGTTCCCTCTTGAAGTCATAGAAAGTCATCGGTCGAAAATCCGAATTTTGGCAGTTCCATTCTTTCTGAAAAGTAAGAAAAACGACAACATGAAAACTGCTCAATGAAAATTACTCAAACTTCTCCTTTAATGCAAAACAAGTGTTCAAGCAATATTTCATCCTTATTGGCCTTCTAGTTGTCAAGAATCTAGAAACATTTGCATGAGGTCAACGTATTATCTCGCCAATCTGAGTGAGGACTGCCTAAAATTTGTGCTAAAGTATGCGTTCCTTCGAATTTGAGCCTTTTATTGAAGGATTTTTTTTTTAGCGCATCCCACGATCATGGGATTCATGAATCTTCATGCTACAGAGAGCTGTGTCTGATGTCTTTGTTGGTTATGCCACAACTTCAAGAGTGCATGTGATTAATTTTTCAAGCTCTGTTGGATGTAAGCATATAAAAACATCCTGAAAATGTTAAACTTCCTTAACACGTTGAACGCCGCGGCAATGATGGCATATATATTTTTGCATTCAGTGAGGCGCACCGGTGCGCCTTGTGGCGGTATAAGGCATATTAGAAATGGTAAAAAATATATATATAATATGCGCTACTACTCCATTGGTTAGCAATTTGAGATGATTTTATTACAAACAATCACCATGTATCCAATGTGTCAGCGGATTTGCATGGAGAATTGTGGTGGTTGCCCTTTTAAAATTAATCCTTTTTCAATGTGTATTTTCCCATTGTGATTTCGAACACTTTCTTATTGGTCATTACGAATTTTTCCTTCTCGGCTTAATCTTACTAGAAGTTTTACAAATTTGGACTCCATTTCCTGATAATATCTTGAATTAAGGAATTTTCATATAATAAATCTCCTAAGTAATTGTTCAACCTTGTCCTTAATGTGATCCCATATGGCAGGTGATCATCCTTTGAACTCGCTGCACGTAACAGGAATTTTCCTTGATTTTCCTGAACTTCACAATGGGAGTGACGATTTGGAAAAAGCAACTGCGAACTGTACCCATGAATGAAGGAGGCAATAATCACTGAATGTACACGATCTAGAAATGACGCAAAAGCAGTGTGGAAATTCATGAAGCACTCGAATGAAAGCAGAGGTGTATCGGACCCCGATGAGAAAAATAGTGGACTGACGACTTCCTCCCCTCGCGAGTTTCACAAGTTCTAAACATAATGTCGACTAGCAAACCTAGAGAATGTCATAATTCTATATAATACATTGTTTCTGCTTTCATTCATTGCAACCTCGTATTGCCATGCATTGGCAATGCGAATTTAGATGAGTGAAAAGGTCTCTATTTTAGGCAGAGGAGGCAAAGATTAGACATTGGCAAAGACATTGGGTGGATTGCATGAAACTGACTTTAGTCCAATGGTGCTTTAAACCTCCTTCAGTGGCGCTAAATGATCTTTAAATTACACTTTTGTATTGCTAGTGCTACGGGATAATTCTATGCATGGATTTGAGCCATTTGAGGCCACCAGGCGCTGGTCTTCCGTGCGAGATTCTGGGCAGGAATGAATTGTGAGCTGTCGGACTTCGCTCGTTTTGTGTCGATTGAGAATGAATCTAATGATTTTCAGAGATATCTTTGTTATTTACAATCTTAATGTATGTTTTTAATTATATGAGGAAGGGTCTCCTGAGAATTTTTGCCCTCTGAAACCCCGAAAATGATTCAGACAAGTCGTAGTTTGTGGTGTTGTGGAGATTTCCCTTTTGCAGAAATTATTTTAAATTATCCTTGCAAAACTGCCATGAAAGCTTTCGTTTGAGAAATCGACAGGCGAAATCAAACCAACGATGAAAATGTAAAAAGTACGAAAAAATCCAAGATTAACCGAAAGACTTTTGAAGAATGAATATCTTATTGGATTCGTGTAGTTAGCCTATAGAATCACATAATAAGAGAGTGTTGTGAGATTCCTAAAGAAATCCAATTTGACTTTACGTTTAAAAAATCATGTGGCATTCCCATCGACTCTTTCGCAAAGATAAATATAAGGTGGAGTTCCTGTCTCATTCTCAACGAATTTATTGCCGGATCGGCAATTTTTCTTTTAAAGAAGAAAACATAATCGTTACTTGGCAGTATGTAGTCTCAATTTTATAAATGCCATGTAAAATGAGTAAAAAGTGTAGGCTGAATGGATTCAGCAACATGTACTTACTGTAAATGCTTCTTCCAGAGAGATAAGCTTTTTTCTGCAAATAATACAGGCTCCTAATGGTATCAGTGCCGATCCATGAGTTGTGCAAAAAATTCATTTGTATGAAATCTATTCCCATTTTGTCACATTCATCCTGTTGAGATTCTCTCATCTGCAATTTTTTTTCCACGAGGGTGAACTTTTTTGTCCATCGAACTAAGAAGTCAAAACGGATTTCTTCAATGCCAGCCATTATCTTTGATTATTGAATTAATCAGCTTATGCAGGGTAGGTAATAAATTGCTGACAAATTCAAAGTAATTTTAAACGGGCATCATGACAGGAAATGATATTATTCGTATGCCATATTAAACTACAATCTCAGGAGTTTAACACATAAAATACATGTATGGTTTTTCCCTCGTTTATGTCGTGAAAACAAAAACTCCACATTTTCCTGTATTCACTGACGCACAGGGATCACTGTGGTTCGCATCGGCTTTTGCCAAGCGTCAATTGAAGCATTGGCGATTGCCAGTTCAATGATGAGCTGTACATTTTTTCCCCCCGATGGAATGGGTACGACTGTCGCAGTGACATCTGAGGGATACCAGGTCATGATGAAGTACTTCATTGCTGCAAAACTCCCAGGAATTGGATTTGACCAAACCTGGTTCCAGCTGGGTGCGGAATGGCCCACATTGCCTGTAAATCGATGGTACTGCTGAGAAAGTTGTTTTTTTTTCCAATCACTTCATTCCATGGTTTGGAGACGTTGATGGCCTGCCAGAAGCCAGACGTAACTGCTCCTTAGTTCTTCCTTTCAGGATCTTGAAGTTGGACGTCTACGACAACTGGCCAAAAATCCTTCAAGATTTCCGGAGAAACGTTGAACTAGCAATAACAAATATTCCAATCGACGCTTAGGGAAAGGGGTCATTCCACGCCAATTCGACCAGACTGTAGGCTCTTCCAGCACCGAATTGGACGAAAATAGCCATACATGTAGCGGAATCGATTTAAAGAAACCAATTTCTGCCAATTTTTTATATCTCCCACCAATCTCCTGATATATGCATTTGATTGGCGCCAATTTTGGCTCCTTGTGCCCATACTTTCAGGAATTGTGAAACTATTTCTGCAATAAATTCTCTTCTAATTAAGATGGAAGCTTCAATCTGGTGTCATTTTAAATGCTAAATCGCCATCTTTAAATTGATTATAGACAATATACTTGAAAGATAAAACAAGAAAATGATTGAGATATGGCTATTTGACTGATGCAAAAGTACTAAAATCTCCCTTGACGGTACAGTTTGACCGATGTCAGCGACAGACATCTGAAGCTTCCTCCCCAAGAAACCAGACTTGTAATATTTCATTGAAAGCCGCATATTATGCCCTTTCTAACGATACCAAATTTGAGATTGGTACTTATGACTATTTGACTGCAGCAGAGTTCATGTAGGCTGACCGCCTGAAGTTTGATCGTTCTATTTTGAAAATTTTTTCTCTGAATTTACACATTTTAAAATTATTTTTCAAATAAAAATGTGCAAATTATTGCGCAATTTATATATTCCACACATTGCCATCAGTATGTGCACTATTGCCTAACTAAAGAAGTCTGACTGAAACGACATACAGGTTCTGCGTGAAAATTTGACTCAATATGAAATGAAGATTCTTGCCCGTAAGGTTTTACTTCGGCACCCAGAAAGATTCAGAGGCACTAAAAAAAAAAACGCATTGGGACAATTGCATTTTGCGCTATACCGACCGTCAGGGGTTTTGTTGTGACATTAAAAGACACACATTAAAAGAGCTTCCACGAAGGACCGTCGAAGTGAATTGGTCACTGATAACGGTCAAACTTTTCCGTCATGGGAGATTTTAGTACTGTTGCATCAGTCAAATAGCCATATCTCAATAATCCGTTGAGTGCAAATCTCGAATGTGGTATCCTTAGAAAGGGCATGACATGCGCTTTTGAATAAATTATTGGAACGAAGAATTCCAGAGGTGGCAAGTGTCGCTTTTCAACACTGAACATGATGAAACCGTTCAGTCACGTGGAATTGTTTTATCTTTCAAGTACATTGTCTATAGTTAATTTAAAGATGGCGATTTAGCATTTAAAATGACACCAGATTGAAAGTGCTATCTTAATTAGAAGAGAATTTATTGCTGAAACAGTTTCACAATTCCTGAAAGTATGGGCACAGGGAGCCAAAATTGGCGCCAATCAAATGCATATATCAGGAGATTGGTGGGAGATATAAAAAATTGGCTGAAATTGGTTTCTTTAAATCGATTCCGCTACATGTATGGCTATTTTCGTCCAATTCGTTGCTGGTCGGGCTTACGGTCTGGTCGAATTGGCGTGGTCGTCAAAGGTGATGCGAGAGACTGATCCATTTGCGTCAGTGCATAGAGTAAAATCGTGGATATAAACATGCCATAGTTTTCTAGTCATAAACTAGGGAAAAACCAGACATGAATATTATGTGCATATCTCCTAAGATGGCAGTTTAATGCGCTCAATGATTAATTTCATTTCCTGTCGTAATGCCCATTTAAAATTACTTTGAAATGAGTCAGGTATTTATTGACCACCATGTGCTGAATACCTACAGTATACCAAACGGTGCTCGTTTTGAAAAATCGACAGTTAACCAGGCGAGAAGGTGAGGCACTCATCATGGAATCACCACCGTCACAATTGCAGAAGGTCCAAGAGGAAGATAAGAAACCGACCCTCAAGACCATGGTTCACGACAACATCATGAATGAAATCATAAAATCAGAGAAGAGAAAAGAACCCGACTGGAGAATCTTGGTGGTCGATGAACTCGGCACGAAGATGCTTTCGTCGTGTCTGAAAATGCACGAAATCGCGTGGGAAGGCATCACGCTCGTCGAAGACATCTGCAAGAAGCGAGAGCCAATCCCCTTGGAGGCGATTTATCTCGTCTGCCCGACGGAGTCCACCATCGACCGGATCGTCGAGGACTTTCCTCGTGGTCGTGGCATGTATAAGGCCGCTCATGTCTTCTTTATGTATGCGTGCCCTGATGAGCTCATTAGAAAACTCGGTCGAACTCGGGCTGCCAGATACATTAAGACCCTGAAGGAAATCAACATGGCATTTGTGCCATATGAGAGCCATGTTTTCTCATTGCATCACCCAGAAGCATTCCAGCACTATTTCCATCCAGCGACATCACATGCAACAAGTCGCAAAACGATGCAGCGAATGGCGGAACAGCTCGCAACTCTCTGCGTCACTTTGGGAGAACACCCATCTATAATATATAGAAGAGATCACCCCAAGAACGTTGAGTTCGCCCAGACCTTGCAGGAAAAATTGGATGCTTATAATGTCGATGAGCCAAAGATTGGTGAAGGGCTTGAGAAAGCACGCTCTCTCCTTCTGATCCTAGACCGAGGCTTTGACGCTATATCACCATTACTTCACGAACTCACTTACCAGGCCATGGCACATGATGTCTGTCAACTAGAAAATAATGTTTATGCATACCAGGCATTTACAGGTGTATCCTACGGGGAGGATGCAGACTTAGGTGCAGATGCATATTCCGCCAAGTTACCCTCTAATAAGGTTGCGTCCTTAAAAGCAGGTGAACTTCCCTCCAACATATCCTCTTCCCAGGAACCACATGGGGAAAGTGCACACTTAGATGAATATGCGTATTCCCACAAGGTACCCCATTCTCAGGTTCCATCAAAAAAGGATACCCCCATGGGTGTAAATAGGTATCTTTCGAAATCACTCTCTTCTCAGCTACTTTCTAAGGAGGATGCATCCTTAGATACATCCTTCGATCCCTCCTATTTACTCACTTCCCAGTTTACCTCTGAGGTGTTCATGCTCGAGGAGCAAGATACCACATGGCTCGACCAGAGACACGAACATATATTTGCAGCTTCCAAAAACATATACGACTCCATAAAGACATTTTCAAAGTCCAAAACGATAGCTACAGACCAGCCAACTACAAAGGTCCTTTCTCGGATGGCTCAGAAAATGCCACAGTACAAGGAAGAACTGAACAATCTCAACTTCCATTTACATCTGGCAGAGGAGTGCATGAGGGTATATAAGAAATATGCGGGCAAGCTATGCCTTGTGGAGCAGGACCTGGCAATGGGGACCGATGACGAGGGGGAGCGAATTCGTGAGGGCCTGAAAAGAATACGTCCCATTCTCACCGCACGTAAGCTTCTCATCGATGACAAAATCCGCATCATCTTATTGTTTATCCTGGCTAGGAATGGCATCCATGAGGATGATTTGGGGAGGTTGATGAAGTATGGGAAAATTCCAGAATCAGAACGGTCTACAATCCTCAACTTGAGTCATCTTGGGCTTAATGTTGTCATCGATGGAAATCCCAAGGAAATCCACCAGCCGATCCGGAAGGACAGGACCTCGGAGGATACCTATCTTGCATGTCGCTGGACTCCACTGATCAAAGACGTAATGGAGACTGCCATCGAAGACAAGCTCGACAAGGATCATTACCCGTTTCTCGCCAGAAGGCAGGCTCCGGAGAAGCAGAGCAGTGAAGTCACCAGTGCCCGCCAGCGTTCAAATCAGAAGGCCTCTGGTTCTGCCAAGAGAGTTCATCGTCTCATCGTCTTCATTGTCGGCGGGGTGACTTTCTCTGAAATGAGGTCTGCGTATGAGATCACGAAGGCATGCGAGAAATGGGAAGTCATCATCGGTTCTACGCAGATCCTAACACCTACCGGATTCCTCAAGAATTTGAAAGAGTTCGAAAATGTCGATGAGACTCCATCTCATGGATCTACGTCCCACCAGCCTTCAAAGTGTTAAATGACCGGTGGACAATCCCTGATGTCATCCTCTTGCAAACTGAAAATGTCATACCTCCCATATTAATCCTATCTTGATTTTTACTTTTCCCCTCGTTGTTGCGTCCTTTTGTCGCTTATACTTCATTGTGTTCTTCAAAATTCATTTGAACGTGGGCCCCACCAATTATGAAAGGATGAAATTTTGGACGAACATTATTTTTACGTTAGGATAAAAGAAAGTTGTTTCAGTTAAATTCGTTTAATATTTTCATGTTTCAGAAAGCATGGAACTGCAAAAATTCGGATATTCGACCGGTAATTTCCTATGACTTCAAGAGGCGACTAAAACAGGAGCAATATCATACCAACTCTCCCAGCTTTTAGGGAAGAAGCCCGTTCTATTGCAACTGTCTTTCGTTGGTTTATTGATCTCCAGCGCAGAAGAAGTAGCTTTGAAATTGTACCCCGCTCAGGACAGCGGCCAACAGCAGTCACACCGGCAAACATCATCGCTTTAGAGAAACTAATCTAGGTGGATTCTCGAATCACGTATGAATCCTTGCGGAAGACTCAAGGCATTGTATCGGCGGCAGGTACAACTTTCCTCCACAAACACTGTGGTGTCACGAAGCGTTATGTTCGGGAGGGCATCCAAAAACTTCTCTGAGGTGCAGAAGGAGAGTACCACCTGTTTTCCAACCCTCCGAAAGCGTTTGAAAATAAACAGGTGGGCTCTCACCAGGGAATACCAAAACTGGGGATTGCTCCTTGGTCAAACTGATAGATCCAAGTTTCATCGCCAGTTATCAGTTCCCACACTTGCTTGGACCTGCCTCTGTTGAATTTTTGGTGCATGAATTTGCACAAACGAACAACTCTCTCCTTATGATCTTCGAAGAGGTAGTTTGGGGCCCTGCCAGCACAACGCTTGATGACCCCAATGGGTTCGTGCAGGACGGTGGTAACTGCTGCCGATCCAATGGCTTGAGTCTTCTGCAAGGATTCATAGGTGACTCGGACATCCACCTGGAATAGCTTCTCTACAGCGGTGATATCGACCGGGATGACTGCTGTTGGCGACCGTTCTGAGCGGGACTCATCTTCAAAGCTCCTTCTCCAAGCGCTTGAACTCAGAAAAACCAATGAAGGACAGTTGCACGTGAAGCTTGCTCCCTAAAAGCTGCCTGAAAGTTGGTAAGTGATTGCTCCCGCTTTAGGCCCCTCTTGAAGTCAGAAAGTCATCGGTCGAAAATCCGAATTTTGGCAATTCCATGCTTTCTGAAGATTAAGAAAAAACGACCACATGAAAACTGCTCTGTGAATATTACCCAAATCACCTTTACTCTAACGTAAAACTAATGTTCATGCAATATATCATCCTTATTGGCCTTCTAGTTGTCAAGAATCTAGAAAAATTTGGGTGGGGTCCTTGTATTATCTCGCCAATCTGAGTGAGGACTGCCTACAGTATGTGCTAAAGTATGCGTTCAGATGAATTTGAGCCTTTAGTTGCAGGATATTTTTTTCCAGCGCATTCAACGATCATGTGATTCATGAATCTTCATGCTACAGGGAGCTGCGTATATTACATAAATGTGTATGTATATGTAAAATTACATAGGAATTTTCCTCGATGCTGCTGAACTTCAAAGTGCCACTTTCTATTTGAAAAATCAACAGCTAATTCTAATTGTAATTGTATTGAATGATGGAGATAATAATCGTTGAATGCAATGAAATGACGCAAAGGCAGTGCGGAAATCCATGAAGCATTCAGGGGTGAATCGAACCCGATGAGGAAAATAATGGACTGACGAGTTTCACAACTTCAAAACAAAATGGCGACCAGCAAACCTAGTGAATATCATAATTATATATAATCTTTTGTTTCCGCCTTCATTCATTGCAACTTCTTAAATATACATTGGCCATGCGAATTCGGATTAGTGAAAAGGTCTCTATTTGAGGCAATGGAGCCTAAAGACATTGGGCGGATGGTATGACACTGACTTTAGTCTTATCCTGCTTTAAACCTCCTTCAGCGGCGCTAAAGGATCTTTGAATTACACTTTTGTATTGCTAGTGCTACGGGATAATTCTATGCATGGATGATGAAGCATTTGAGGCAACCAGGCCTTGTGTCCATTGTTTTGTGTCCATTGAGAATGAATCTAACGATTTTCAGAGATTTCTTCCTTTATTTGCAACCGTAATGTATATTTTTAATTATATGGGGAAGGGTCTCCTGAGAATTTTTGCGGAGGCCTTTGCCATCTACATGTAAAACCCCGGCCTTTTGAAACCCCGAAAATGATTCAGACAAGTCGTAGTTCGTGGTGTTGTGGACAAATTTTTTTTTAGCAGAATTTGTTTCAAATAATCCTCTAAAAAATTCCATAAAGCTTTCGTTTAGGAAATCGATAGGAGAAATCGAAGCAACGATGGAGATGTTACAAATACGAAAAAATCCAATATTAACCCAGAGACATTTGAAGAATGAATATCTTATTGGATTCCTGTAGTTAACCCCCCCCCCAAAAAAAAAAAAAATAATAATAATAATAAGAAAATAAATAAGTAAAACAAATATATAAATAAAATAAATATATAAATAAAATAAATATATAAATAAAATAAATATATAAATAAATATATAAATAAAATTAAATAAATAAATAAATAAAATAAATGGAGAGATCGAGGCCGCGACGATCCCGTCCATCCTTAATCGAGCGCCCTATCGAAACTCCTGCCTGACCCGTCATGTACCCTGAAGGAAGGGGAACTGAGAGATGTTCACTCCTGACCGATCGACTCCCGCCGTTTTACCGTCAAGAAAATCTGAGACTTCTGGAGGGAAAAGGTTTCGCTGGACTTCTTCCATGCGTGCCCTCTTCCGAAGTTTTTTTTAAATTCACATCTCGTTTTTCAGATATTTTTTTTATACATCTAATATAAAAAGTTACAATTTTTAAAATTAAATTTGACGGTAATACCAGATTTACAATGGCAATGGGAAAATGGGAAATGGGAAAATGTTTTGGAGGAAAACCAGCTTTTTATTCAGTGTGTAGCAAATTTAGACATTAGATTATTCCCTCGTTAGTAATGAACTAATGACTCATCCATGGGTTAATTAATGAGAACCTCGTATTCTGATACCTGGAGATAAAAGTGAAAAACTAGTTAATTCCAAATTACCCAATTCACATCCAGAGGCTACTTCGTTCTACGAAGGAGAAATCCGCCATCAACAGCGTTTGAATGGCAGGAATAATAATGAAGAGGGAAAAAAGTATCCGAGGTTGAGAAGACTGCTGTGGGCAGGCAGGCCGACGGTGATGGATGGAGCCGGAGTCCCGCTGCGGGGTTCGCTGTAGGGACGCGAGAGGAGAAAAGGATTAATTCTCTAATTTTACCATTCGTTGCCACGCGCAGGACTGTGAGATTTTTTTTTTTTAATAATAAAATAAAATAATAATTTAAAAAATCTTTTCCCAGAATTAACTGTTTCAACCGGAAGTATTTTTCTGCATAGCGCATTCCGGGTTACCGAGTGCCATTTACCATTTAGATATCCTAAGAAACACCCCTTTTCTTATTAAATAAATATAAAATATAAATACCAATATAAAATAAGAATATCACAATTTAAAAATATGCTTATGACATGAATATAAAATAAAGAATGCCACATGAATGGGGTATCCTCATGAATACCACTTTTTCTGATACCGAAAGGTAAGTAAAAAAAAAAAAGATTTCCTGCTTTCCCGACTTTTCCTTAAGAGCGCGACTCCGTCGGCAACCGTCGAACATGAGTCGATCGGAAAGATTCGCGGCGGCGAATACTAAATTCACATCGCGCGACAGGAAGGAGAGACTCAGAGAGCCTCCTCGTCGGCCTCTCGCTCCTCGCATCCCAAGTGTCGTCATGGATGTCGGCCCGCTGAAGGTCACGGGCCGCTGAAGGTCACGGAGCCGGGTCGCCTCCGGTCGACGGTGTGCCCTGCCGCGTCGACTCCACGCGGTTCTTTATCCGTTTCCTCGTCGGTGGTAGGACGGTTCCGTACATTTTTCCCCACATTTTTTTATTGAGTATGTATTTGTATATATATATGCATATATATATATATATTTTTTTTTTATTATTTTATTTTATTTATTTATATAATTTTATTTATATGCCACCTAATTAGGTTAAAGTCGGACTCGAGCTTTAACCCTCGGAATGCCAAGATCGGGTCAAAATGACCCGATGGTCAGTCCTCCAAGGTTCCGTTGGATCGTTTCTTTTTTTGGTATCTACTTGGGAAATAAATACATAAATATCTTAAAAAGGTATGTGTAGCTTCTATTCTGAA